TGGGCAGGGGGAGGGGGGATGCTGGTAAATGAGAGGCAGGCTGTCCAGGTCACAGAATTATCATTGTGAAATATTCATGGGCCCTCGGTCCAGATGCTATTTCCGAACAGTGAGCGCGGGGAGGAGGGTGTGAGCCTCAGGAAGAAGCCTAAAGCAATACCACGGTCCAGCAGCCCCACCCCCGCCCCCAGCAGCCCAGACAGACCCACAGACGCCCATCTCCTGCACACCCACGCGCTCACACACACAAAGCAGAGAGCTATGCAGCAGCACGTGCAGGCACGCCAACCGCCCACGGTCCCAGATGTATCCCCAAGCACCGGTGTGCAGGCACACCAGCTCCACCAGGACCAGGGCAGAGCCCACCCCTAGGGATTTCATCCTGCCCTGCACCCCCCAGCCTCTGCAGACAACCCAAATTCCCAGCCTTCAGCCACACACCCTGAAAGAGCAGGGACCATCCAAACGCCCCAGTGCTCAGGACAGAGAGGCGGAAGAGACATCTCCCAGATTCCCCCAGCCCCAGGAAGAAGCAAAATTCATTCCCCTCCCTCAAGCTGGGAGTGTACCCCATTCTACCTTCTTTCCCTGGGCCAGATACCCAGCCTAGTTGCAGCTAACGCCTCTCCTTGTCTAAGCTCCCGAATCTGTTCAGTTACCCAGTCGGTCCCCCTCCTGGCCCCTATCCATCCCTCCCTTCCTATCCCCCCACCTCCCTTGCTCTAGCTACTCATTACCTCATGCCTAGAATATAAAAGAAAATAGCAATAACCTCCTCACTGGTTTCCCTACACTCAGTCTCTCCCTCCCTCCCACCCAGCCTGCCCACGGAGATCAGATTCATGAGACCAACTCCTGCATTATGTCATCTTGTCACTCCAGAACCTGCAGTGGCTCCCCACTGCCTGCAGGTTAAAGGGAACACCCTTCAGCAAAGTGTCAGCGATCCTTCAGGGTCCAGTGCTAGGCTTTTCTCCCGTGGCTGGAACGGCCGTGTCATCCTGACCCTCCGTCGTCACACGCCTGACATCCACGCCCTACTTGGAATGTGCCCCGGGCTTCCTCACTAAACCTCTCGGCAGATCACTGAAGCCAGGGCCGTCTGCAAGTCCAGGGCTGCCCCTCTCCCACCAACCGCGGCATCTTTGCCCTTCAAAGCCACAGAGGCTCCAGCTGGGGCTCCCTCCATGCAGACAGCTGCCCTCCACTGGCCACCTTGGGAAGCACAGCCAAGCTTCAGCCTGCGCTGAACTGAGGGCGAGCATCTAAGCCGCGGGGGAGAGGCCCGCGAGAAGGGCGCCAGATGACAGGGTTTATAAGCCCTTAAGCCTCTAAGGTTCTTACACCCAGCGCCGGGGGAGGCAGCACTTCCAGCTGGCTCCCTACTTCAGATCCCTAATCTGTGAGCGAGTGCCTCGCCCGTGAAACACACACAGGGCTCCCAGGACCCCCTGCAAGGGAAACTGGCCCACCAGACTCTTGAGAGGCCAGGAGGCCAGGGACAGGCCAGGTGGCAGGCCCGAGGTCCAGCCGGGTCAGGTTTCTGCATGAATTTTTAATGCTTGCAGCCAGACCTGTCAGATGTTCCGAAACCTGAGTGTCTTCTCTCATTTCCACACAGGATGTCCTTCCCATCCCACTGGGACAGGGAAGGCAGGCCTGGGCCGGCTATCCAATCACCTCTGGAAAAAATATTTGGGGTGTTGTGTGTGTGGAGGGGGAGGTAGAAGGCTGAATGACCCAATTATTCTCTCACCTCCTGGCTGTGTGATCTTGGGTGAGTTGCTTAACCTCTCTGAACACAAGAGGTTTGGGGGTTTATTTGCTTCTTTGTTGGGGCCAGTGCTGCCTGTCTTGACTGAGTCTGCGTGGAAAAGGGCAAGAGCCTACGGGAAGACGACCTACGTGGCTGTCATTGTCATCTTCCCCCAAGTCTTTCCCGCCAAATCCCCCCCCCCACGTTGTCTCTGGCTCCTTCTTTTGCAGATAGGGACTTTGGTTGGCTCTGCCATCCCCACCCCCCCCCCCGCCCCCACCCCAGGCCCATCTCAGAGTCCTCTGGCCTTTCCTGGAACTTCAGAGAGAAGCAGGGTTGGTGGAGCACAACAGGGCGGACGGAGGGAGTGAAGTTCGCAGAAGGGACTGAAGAGGGCCGGGGAGGGAAGCCCCTGCTCAGAGACAAGAGGAGGCCAGGTGTGGACCCCCCCCCCCTTTTCATCTTCCTCTCCTCCCTCTTGCAGCTTTCTGGAGACCCGCCTGGCACCCTCCCGCCAGAAGCAGAGGCCCACCCTAGGCAGGTGGGCAGGGGGCGGGGCATTCAGGAAGGTGTGCGGGTGAGGGCTCTGGCAGGAGGCTCCGGCCAGTCTTCCCAGCCCACCAATCCCTGGCACAATCCTTCTGAAAATAAGGACCTTTTGCATCTGATTTAAGCGGGGAGCGGATTCCTGAGCCCCTCCCCCACCTGCCGAATCAGCCCGGGACTCTGCGTTTGTGACAAGTGGAGGTGGGTTATGATCCAGAGCCATCTCCTCCTCGGAGGTGGTGGAGGTGGCGCGGTCCAAGCAGGGCAGATGGGATAATGCTTCCCCTCCACACACAGTGGGGGTTCCCGACAATACTCCTGGGGGTCCGCGTGATGCTGGGGGGTGGGGTGCGGAGGGATAGCAGGTGTTCGAGGGAAAAGAAGGGGTCCTCACGCCAGAGACTGGTGAGCAGCAGGAAAAAGAGACGCCTACAGGGTGTGCCCACCCTCCTCTTCGAGGCCATCCGACATGCAGACATGCAGAATCTCGGGCTGGGACGTGGAGACGCTGAACAGCCCACACCGGGTTCTAGCGGGGAGGGGCGGAAAGGAAACTTTCTATCACCCGGCACCAGTGGCCTTGCCCGCCGTCCAGCCCCGGGCCCTGGCCGCACAGCACCCCCGGCCACCCCAACGCAGCCCCGGCCGGGCGCCGTTTCATCCCACCTCCCACCCCGCCTCAGGTCCCAGCTCATCCGTCAGCAGCGATGACCCCTCCTCTGTCCGTGACCCCTGAACTCGGCCCTTGGCCCATTAACCCTTGCAACCCGGGCCGCTCCCTGCGGGTCTGACCCCGCCAGCCTGCCCCGCCGCGGGGGTGCCAGGGTAAGGGGCCAGGGCTCTCCGGGAAAGAGGCAGGCGCTTGCCACCCTCCCCCCTCGCTCTTTCCGGGAAGACACGGGGAGGGGGGCTTCTCCTGGGAGACTCGGGGCGTCGAGATTCCTCGCTCCCCGTTCTCCGGCCCCCGCACCCCTCCTCCTGCCGCCGCGCACCCTCTCCCCTCCCCGGCCATCTGTTCCGCTCGGCAGCGCCGCGACAAACACGGCTCCAGCTCGCTTCCGCCCCTGCCCAGCCCCCTCCCCAAACTCCCCGAGGAGCCGGGGGTGGGGCCGGGTAGGGGTGAGCAGCCATCCCCTCCTAGGAAGCCGGAAAGTCCTCCTCCACCTCCCACCCGGTCCCGAGCGGGGGGGGGGGGGGGGGCAGAGCCAACGGCGGGGACCCCTCCTTGCGTCGAGGGGGTCGCGGGGCTGGGAGTAACGATTGTCAGGATGCGGGGCGGGGTTCTGGTCTGTGTGGGGAAGTCTCAAAGGAGGGGGCAGAGCCACCCCAGAAGAAGGGGTCTGGAGTCCGAGCCTGGGGCTGGGTAGGGATAGGGGGCTCCGCGCCTGCCTCGCCGCCCCCTCCCACCCTGTCCCAAACTGCAGCCACGCAGCGCCGCCTGCTGGGCACGCAGAGTACCGGCTCGCACGGCGCTCTCGGTCCGCTCGCCCTCGCCCGAGAATCTGGGGGACCGCGGCGGCTTCCCCCGGGGGGAGGCAGGGTCCCGGACAGAGAGCGCAGTGAGGCCCCGGCAGGCCCTGTGGGAGCCGGCCGAACCCGCTGGTGGATGCTGCCCAATTTTAAGGAATTGGCTCAGAGCAGCCAGAGCTGTGCTGCGACATTGCCAATCCTCCAGTGCCCCCTGGCAAGTGTTTGCTCTTTGGGAAAATGGGTGGACCCGGCTGTTTCTGATAAGCTTCTCCGGAGAACTTACCATGGGCCACGGCTGGGCTGGGACGAATGCCTGTTGGGGCCGCCAGATCCTTAACAAAAGGTAGTTGCTCTTACAGTCCGGATTCACCCTAACCCAGGAGTACAAGCAGGCAGGGGTAGGGCTGGGTCGGTTGTAAGGGACATTGCGAAGGTGGTTTGTTCTCAAAAACGGTGTCTTCCCTTGATGTAGATCATTCTAAAGCCACATTTAAAAAGACAAATATAGGAAAATACGAAGCAAAATTTGCAGGAAGTTTTCAGATAAAATAGAGGACTACAAAAAAGTATTAACTTTCAGCAGGCCCCAGGGGCTTTGGTGGCAAAACTTGAGTCATTCCTTAGTATTCCTTCTAAGGCATCCTGTCGGCCTCCTTCTGTGAAGAGGCCAACTTCCTGGATGCACCCCCAAATCCTGGAAGTGGGGGACAGGAGGTACTAAGGGCAGGGCACGGCTGAAACAGGAAGGTGAGGGGTGGGCACTGTGGCGTAAGTTAAGCCTCCATCTGCAACCCCAGCATCCTACATAGGCACTGGTTTGTGTCCCGGCTGCTCTACTTCCCATCCAGCTCCCTGCTAATGGCCTGGGAAAGCAGCAGAAGGTGGCCCAAGTGCTTGGGCTCCTGCACTGTTGTGGGAGACCCCGAGGCTCCTGACCCATCCCCAGCTGTTGGGGCCATTTGGGGAGTGAATCAGTAGATGGGAGATTCTCTCTCTCTCTCTGCCTCTCCTCCTATCTAACTCTGCCTCTCAAATAAAAATAAATAAATAAATAAATCTTAAAGAAAACAGGAAGGTGAGCCAGCCAGCCAGCCAGAGGCGGACTGGCTGGTACTCCACACGTCCTACTTAATGCCCAGCTGAGTCTGGGTGAGAGAAGGGGGTGGGAAGTGGGAAGAGAACCCTCCCCTCTGTCCCCACCCCCAAGGCACAAGTACACAGCAGCCAGTCTATCACTTCTCTCTTTATTTCCTCTAAGACCTGCAAGCAGCAGCGACGGGGAGGGAACCCGCCCTCCAGCCCCTGGAATGGGTCTGCTGCCCTCCCGACACCTCACCCAGGACCGTCGGCAGCACCTCAGGGCCCCTGTCGTCCAGACGGGCAGGTGGTGTCTCTCTCTCTCACACACACACACACATGCATGCATGCACACACACACACCTAGGACCTTAGAAGCAGCCTCTTCACCAGCCCCCAGGTTCCTAGGAGGCACCAGAAAAGGCAGCCACACGGCCTGGCCTCCTCCATCCGCAGAAGCAGGTCTCTCCAGCACAGGGGCTGTCTTCAGTGGAGCGTTGCTTTGGGGATATTTTTAAGGGCATTTTTTTTTTGCAAGTGCCTACAAAAATAGAACTTCTCTTGGTATTTATAAATCCATACCCCTGGCTCTGCATGTCCGTTACAGGTAGAAAAGCCACCAGGGGCATTCCCTTTGGTTGCTCAGGCCTCGGCTGCCTGTCATCCAGGCCCCTTGGCCTCAGAAGTCTACGCAGTCACGTCAGGGCCGCCCAGCACCTTCTGCGGGCCTGCCCAGTGGGTGGCGTACTCCCTTTGGAGGCGGCCTCGGTAGTAGAAGAGGTACGAAGGCAGCAGGAATCCTAGGAGTGAGAACAGCAGGAGGCCCAGGTTCACCTGTAGGGCAGGGACAGAGACAATGTCATTTAGTGCCTGCTGGCCCTCATCACCCTCAGGGACCCCTCCCCCCCTTAGCCTCCAAGGAGGAGAAAGCAGTTATTTTGCACCAGAATGATACATAGCGCGGGCACTATTCATGCAGCAGCCTTGCAAACGGCTGAGGTGAGATGCCGGGGCTTGCTAAGTGGCAGAGCCCGGTCAGCGTTCACATCTACAGCACGCCCTGGTAGCCAGGGAGAAGGCACTGGAGGAGTCTGAGCTGGCAGAGGACCAAGGGGACCCTGCCCAGGGAGGCAAAAGGCGGCTCTCACGTGCACAGCTAAGGATCCAGGGTTGCATCAGGGGATAGGAGCCTGGGAAGGCCCAGGACAGTGGCCCTTTGCGGGGGGGGGGGGGGGGGGGTCAGGGCCCCCCCGCCCCTGGATAACTCGGGGGGGGGACTTGGAACTTTCCGAGGAGCCCTGGGGTGAAGACTCAGTGGGCAAAGCACACGGTCGGGAGCAGCAAATGGTGTGGGTATTTCATCCCAGCTGCGGCGGGAGGGTCTGCCCCCGACCCCACCCCACACAGGGCACACACAGGATCGGTTCCACAGAAGCAGAGTCCACTCAGTGAGAAGAGCCTTTCAAATGGGCCCATGCCGCTTCGGGCAGGAATGAGTGTGTCACCACTTGAGATCTGAGCCAAAGGGGAGAACCCGCTATCAGGATCCGGCACTGAGTAGAATGGATTGGACCAGTGGTTCCTGAACACAGCCCTAGGAATGAGACAGGGGCTTCTCTACAAATCACTTGGGGCCTTATTAGAAACAGACTCCGAGGGAGCAGGTGTTGTGGTGCAGGGGGTAATGCTCCTGCTCGGGATGCAACATCTCCTTTTTGGAGTAAGAGTCCCGGCTCCTCTGCTTCCAATCCAGCTTCCTGCTGACATGCGTCCTGGGCAGCTGCAGATGAAGGCTCAAGTACTTGGGCCCCAGCCAACCATGTGGGAGAGACCACGATGGATTTCCGGGCTCCTGGCTTGGGCCTGGCCCAGCCCTGAGTGTTGCCAGTATTTGGGGAGTGAACCAGCAGATGGAAGATTGATTTCCAACGGATAAACAAGCCTCCCCGCCAAGCCCTGCCTCTCTGCCTGCACCCCCTCCCTCCATGCCAACCCCAGCTCTCACCCAGAAGTCTCCTTTCAGGGGTCCCACCATGGCCATGAAGAGCGGCTGCTGCAGCAAGGCGAACACGGCACTGACGAGGGACTGCAGGCCCGTGAGCGTCCCGAAGTGGTTGGACGGGAACCTGTCCCCCAGAGCAAGGCCAAGCGTCAGGACAGAGTGCCTCTTCCTGCCCCTCCTCCGGCACCACTGGAGGTGCTCTGGGTGAGGCTCTCCACGTGTGCCCTGTGGACCCTGGCCTTGCACACACATACCCTGATCCCAGGGCCACCCAGCTGGGCTCTGACACAGCCGTCTGTGAAACAGCCAGAGGCTCCTCCGCTCCAAGCCCCTCTGCCTCTGCTACTCGCCGGGACAGCACTAACCTCCCTTCATTCTTTCCACAAATCGTTACGGAACTCCTGCTGTGTGCCAGGCACTGTTCTAGGTGCTGGAGGTAGAGCAATGAACCAAACGGACAAAGACGGCTGTCCCTGGGCATGTGGCAGTCTGCAGGGGCCGGCGGCAGGTAATAAGCCGGACACACATGCACAACGTCAAAGACAAGGGCCTGAATCAAGGGAAACGTGAAGCACTGAGGCTGGGAGTTGTACCAAGGGGGTTGCAAAGGAAGGAAGGCCTGAGAAGAGGAACAAAGAACTGAGAAAGGCGAACAGGTGAGAAGGAACCTTGTAGCAATCTGGACAAAGAATGTTCTAGAAAGGGAGACCAGTAAGTGCAAAGGACCCATGGAGGGAACACGTGTGGGGTTTCCAGGGGGCCCCTGTGGCTGACATAAGAGTAAACCAGGGAGACGAGGGGATGGAAGAAGGCACAGAGGTCCTAGGGTCAGATGCTGTAGGGTCTTTTAAGCTGAAATAAAGCCTTTGGCTTTGACCTTCAGGGAACTGAGATGGGAAGCCATAGGGGGATGTGAAAATGCTGCCATCCTGCAAGGTGACTCCAGGCCCTGTGGGGAAAGCTGACCCGGGGAGATCGGCTTGGGCTGGGGTGGCAGCAGTGGAGGTAATGAGAAAGGACCCGTTTGGGACAGGGTCCCCAGTGGACTGAACGAGAAGTGTGAGGAAGCAAAGGACAAAGACAACTGCAAGGTTGGGCTGGAGCCAATGAGGCAAACAGAGGTGGCTGCACCTGCCAGGCAGGAGGTCCTGATGATGACGAGGACGGTCATCGCTCCTGTGATGCCCTCCGCAGGGCCTGGAGAAGGAAACGTGGAGAGGAGGGGAACTACAGGCTGCTCAACACTAAGGAAGGTCACAGGCAGACGGGACCCTGGGCAGCAGGTGTCAGCAGTGCAGGCAACAGGAGGGAGGGAGTGTGGGGAGCAACTCGGACTAGACTAAGTTACTGGAATTAAGACTTATTCTATGCATCTGCTCTCCCACAATATGGCGCTGGGAGAGGAGGAAACAGCTTCTACGCAGCTGCCTCTTGCCAACTTGAGTGATGACCTCCAGGAGCTGATCCTGCTCCTGATTGGAGGAGAGCAGCGTACTCGGCGTGTGGGCAGCCGAGTTGGGATTGGTGGAAGAGGACTATAAAGGAGGAGAGAGACAACATGCACCAGGAACATCTAAGGGGAACATCTATCTGAAGGAACACCTGTGCAGCCCCCGAGAGAGCCGGCCGGCGGTATGCCGCTCCCCCGCAGAAGTGGGGAAAAGTGGCAGGGGGAACCGCCCTTCCACGGAGGTGGAAGGGTCGGTAGCCAACCCGGGAAGAACCAGCAGCAAACCCGGGGAGGGCCGAGCAGACAAAAGAACAGCGCAGGGTCCTGTGTCGTTCCTCCACGAAGACGGGGAGCGACACAATGGTGCCGTGACTCGGATAGGAAACCTAGGAGGGAAGAAACGGGAAGAAGTGGGAAAATACCGGAGAGAGAGACTAGCAAAGAGCCTAGGGGAAAGCCGGACGGAAAAGGTGCCGGAAGAAGCTATCGAAAGCCTAGGCATAGACTCGGATATGGACTGTGGGAAAGAAGTTAGGATTGAAAGCGAAAGTGAAACCTGGAGGAGGCTTGGACTCGGATGCGGACTGTGGGGAGAGGCCAGGAGAAATGAGGGAGGAATATTGTTGGAAGAAAACTTAGGGAAACATACCGGGTAGAGAAAAATGTTAGGGAAATTGAAGCCGCGGGGGCAGGCTGAGGCGGAGACGGAAGCCATCTTGGAATTCTTCAAGTCAGCCAGGGGAGCAAAAGGCGAAAATCTGGAACCAGAGGCAGAGACGTGGGCCGCCAGGTTGGAATTCGCCAGGTTAGTCCGGGGAATTTGGACTGAATGCCGGTGGTGGCGGAAACGTAAGCTACGCTGTGTGATTCGCGGAAGCCGCCGCATGCAGAGAGAGCACGGGGCGTGAATAGATAGGGAACGCGGGGCTGGCGCGAGGCCGTGGTTCGGGCGCGAAGGGCGTGGAGACCGCGGAGTGTGCGCACGAAGCCAAGCCGAGCCGCGCAGAGCCGGGAGCCCGCCACAGGGCGGGCGCCGGGAAGCCGCGCAGATGAGAGAAGCGCGGGCTGAAGCGGCTCAGAGCCGGGAAGCCGCCGAGAAGCAGCCTCGGGGCGGGCGCCGGGAAGCCGCAGGGATAAGAGAAACAGAAGTTTAGAAGTAAAATGAGAGAAATAGGAATGCTGGCAGATAGAAGTAAAATGGGAGAGATAGGAATGCCCGGAGATAGAGAAATAGAGAAAAATAAGGCCTCCCCTCAACATGGCAATGAGAGAGCTTGGATTCGGTCTGCCTGATTAGGGAGGTGGTGAGCACCTGCGGGCGGCTAGCAGCTTATGCGCCGCAGGTCACCGAAGACAGGCACGAATTAACATCAATAAGTCTCCCCACAATACCGCAATGAGAAGGCTTGGATTCGGTCTGCCTGAGTAGACGATAAGCACCAGCAGGCAGCTCGACCAGAGTATGAGCTGCAGGTCACCGAAGATAGGCACGAATCAACACCAATAAGTCTCCCCACAATACGGCAATGAGAAGGCTTGGATTCGGTTTGCCTGATTGGTAGGGCTTGTAAGCACCTGCAGGCAGTTCTAGCAGAGCAGAGCATGTGCTGCAGGGCACCGAACACAGGCACGCATCAGCGCCTAAAAACCTCCTCACAACATGGCGAAGAGAGGACCCGGATTCGGTTTGCCTGATTGGTAGGGCTTGTAAGCACCTGTGGGCAACTCTAGCAAGCAGAGCAGAGTGTGCACCGCGGGGCACCGAAGACAGGCGTGTATCAACGCCAAAAATAAAAAGAAAGGGGGATCTGTGGGGAGCAACTCGGACTAGACTAAGTTACTGGAATTAAGACTTATTCTATGCATCTGCTCTCCCACAATATGGCGCTGGGAGAGGAGGAAACAGCTTCTACGCAGCTGCCTCTTGCCAACTTGAGTGATGACCTCCAGGAGCTGATCCTGCTCCTGATTGGAGGAGAGCAGCGTACTCGGCGTGTGGGCAGCCGAGTTGGGATTGGCGGAAGAGGACTATAAAGGAGGAGAGAGACAACATGCATGAGGAACATCTAAGGGGAACATCTATCTGAAGGAACACCTGTGCAGCCCCCGAGAGAGCCGGCCGGCGGTATGCCGCTCCCCCGCAGAAGTGGGGAAAAGTGGCAGGGGGAACCGCCCTTCCACGGAGGTGGAAGGGACGGTAGCCAACCCGGGAAGAACCAGCAGCAAACCCGGGGAGGGCCGAGCAGACAAAAGAACAGCGCAGGGTCCTGTGTCGTTCCTCCACGAAGACAGGGAGCGACAGGGAGGACACGCAGGGGCCACAGAAGACCAGAGTGGCACCAACCCGAAGACTTCAGCCTCCGCTAGGGGCTACTTCTGAGCGACCTCCTGCATCCCTGCATCCTGCAGGGGCTGGGGCTGCCTCTGAGGAAGGGAGTTGCCGGCCATCCTTGGGGTCAGAGAAGGCGGTGGCCCAGACAGCTTCCCAGTCGCCCCCAAGCCCGAGCAGTGAACGCTCCTGGGAGGCCGGGGCAGGGGGTCCGTGCAGGGAGGGACGTCTGGGCCCCAGAACTCACACTGCAGCGTAGAGACTTCCACAGGCAGAGTGGTAGAAACCCCGGACCATGGTGTGCAGGACAAAGGTCACAAACTGGAACCAGAGAGAAGGGGAGGCGGATGAGAAAGCACATCGAGGCAACAGCAGGGGCGGGCAGGGTGCAGAGGGACCCGGGGCCTCGGTGGCCTATGCATTCCTATTCCACTCCGTGCCAACCTTGTCCCCTGGAACACTTCCTGGATAACCTCGCAGCAGCCCTGGGTGGAAGATGCCCGAGAACCATGCACGGGATGAAGGCCCGAGTGGTACCTGGAGATGGAGGCTACCAATGAGGCAGGTGATGCCGAAACCCACGAGCAGGCAGTTGGTCAGGGTGAAGGCGTTGATGGCATTGGTGAGCTTCTGGATCTTGCGGTAGCGTGGCCTGGGGGACTTGATGGCGATCCCATCCCTGGGGCAGGAGGGAGCGGGGACGGGCAGTCACAGCCACTGCCTTGACTGCACCAGCAGCTCCCTGGTTCTCAGCCCGGCCCCTCCCCCTTCTGTATGCCTCCACTTCGGAGAAGCAGGAAAAGGCAGCAAAATCATTTCTCTAAGGCAAAGTGTGATGCGAAACACGCACCATCAGGGGGCTGTCTCAAGAGGCAAAGTCACAGGCCTGACCCCAGACCTCAGAAGGCCAGGGGCGGAGCCTGGGAATCTGCACGGTCACAAATATCCTGTGATTTCTCATGTGCATGGAAGCTTGAGAATCAAGGATGAGAAACAACCCGAGGGCTTGGGCCCCTGCATCCACGTGGGAGACCCGGAGGAAGCTCCAGGCACCTGGCTTCAGCCTGGCCAGCCCCAGGCCATTGTGGCCATTGGAGGAATGAACCAGTGGATGGAAGATCTGTCTCTCCCTCTCTGTAATTCTGCCATTCAAGTCAATCAATCAATAAAAAAAAAGGATGAGAAATGAGCCCCCAGGAAAGTGTCTCTGTCCATCAGCCTGGACGAAGGGAGATGTGGTTTCGGAGGACAGCAGCTTGGTCCCCGAGTGCCCGGCAAGCTCCTCTTCCTGACATATCAATCAAGGGCTCCGAAGCCAGCCCAGGAGAGAAATATGCTGGCTGCCTGTCTGCCCTGGACAGAGGGCCCTGCCCATGGACCCTGGCATCAGGAGCAGAGGGCAAAGAAGGCCGGGGACCAGGGATGGGCACTGTTGCCAGGGACTGTCCCTTAGATGCCTTCTCTCCTCTCGGGACAAACAGGGACTAATTAATTTGGATTCACATAAAAAAGAGCAGAAACCAGAGGATCCTTGGCCCCTGGGATTCACCGCCACACCGCACAGCTATGGGCAGTCCACAGAGTACAGTAGGAGTGATGTCTGCCGTTTCCAATACTGCACCGCCCAAGACACTGTGGCTTGTTCTGGTCTCTCTCTCTGCGATCTCTTGCTCTAGGGGAAGCCAGCCGCCAGGCGCACACAGCCCTGTGGCGAGGTCCGCGTGAGGACCCGCGCCTCCTGCCAAGGGTCACGCGACAGAGCCCTGACGCAGCTCTCCAGTCCTGTGCTCACTTCAGGTGCCTGCAGCTTTAAGAGAGACCTCCCAGCTGTGCCACTGTCGGATCCCCACCTCTCAGAAAGTATGGGAGATAAGGTTTTTTGTTTAAAGATGCCAAGTTTTGATCTCTCCGTCTGTCACCCTGCCTTTCAAATAAATAAATCCTTAAAAATAAATAAAAATGTTGAAAGGGGCAGCATTGTGGCACAGCAGGTTAAAGGCTACCACTTGCAGTGCCAGCATCACGTATCAGAGCAGCAGTTGAAGTCCTGGCTGCTCCATTTCCGATTCAGCTCCTGGCTAAGGCGCCCAGGAAAGCAGCAGAAGATGGCCCAAGTCCTCGGGCCCCTGCCGCCCACATGCGAGACCTGGCCCAGCCCAGGCTGTCACAGTCATTTGGGGTGTGGATAGATGATCTCTGTATTCTGCTGTCACTCTGCCTTTCAAATAAATAAACCTTTAAAAAACATAATAGAGAGGCCAAGTTGGGGGGGGGGGGGAGATGTGCAATTGGTGCTAAAAAAAAAAATTGTGATATCTAATGTTTTTTTTACAGCAACTCTGTCTCCCAGCTTGCAGAAGGCTTCGCATCCCCTTCGGAGCACGGGTTCAGGAGCCTGCTACTCAACACTGTAACCTTGGGGAAATGACTTAACTATGGAGCCCTGTGTCTCAGCTCCCTCAGCTGCCAGATGAGGACAATGTACCTCGACCAGAGAGCTGCTGGAAGCCTAAATAAAGATATGCAAGGTGCATTAGGCACAGTCAGCGCTCAGGGGTAGCTGCTCTCAGCAAGCAAGCCCTGCCCCTCCTTAGCCTCAGCTTGTTCATCTGTGAAATGGAGAGGCATCCCCATTCTCCCAGGGCCCTCAGCAAAGTGAAGGGAGATGGTGGATGGGAAAGCACGGGAAACAAAAGGCACCGTCTGACCACCCGCTGTCACCATCACTGCGCGGGTCACCTGGTGTCTCCGAGGGCAGTGCCCTCAGTCGGGGCGTCCACGCAGTCCTTGATCCGCCAGTCCATGATGTAGCCGATGAGGGGGCAGGTGAGGAGGCACAACAGCTGCATGGCCCCAAAGACGGAGGAGTAGAACCCAACTGGGCGGGACAGGGATGGCAGTGGGCTCAGGAGCTGACGCAGGGCGGGAACAGCAGCCCAGTGCGGGGCAGAGACTGCCAACGCAGCCTTCCTCTGATCCTGGAGTCTCAGAGTCCCCAAGTGCCCAGGGCGACCAGAGCAGTCCAGACCCAGAAGTCCCACCCCCTGTACGCTGGGCGACGGCAGGGTGGGTGTGGCCAGGCTCTGGCTCTCCTCCCCCTACCTGTCTCTGCTGCCTGTTGTCTCAGCTCACTGGTCTCTGTGGGTGGGAGGGAGAGAGGGTGAGGGGAGCTCGGCCAAGGTCACCCTCCTGTGCCCACAGTTGCAAAGCAGGCTCACCATGCTCCGAGCCGCCGGTTATGAGATACTGCAGCATCTTATTCATGGCGGCCATGTAGAAGATGACCCGCAGCTGCGTCATGCCCATGGTGAGGAGGCTCCACAGGAATATGGGGGAGAAGAGGCTCTTGCGGAAGGGGACAGACTCTGGAGAGACAGCAGGGGGAGCCCCTGAGCCCTGCACCTGCACCTTCCACTTCCCCTACGCAGTCCCAGTGGGGGCTGGGACAGGAACTGTGCTGCTTCAGAGATGGGAAGTTCAGTGTCACTTCCCTCCCAGCTCTTGCCCTGCGCTGTAACGGCTGCAGAACAGTTCTGGGAGGCCTCTGAAGGGACACCTGGTGCTTCTGTGGTAGCACTGCCTCCAGGACACTTCCTGCCAGCTCCACACGGCCACAGATCAGCCCCACAGAAGCCGCCACAACGGTATCCACGGCTCGGACAGCCACATGACGTGCCCCAGTCCTGGGGCTGGGCGCAGCAGGTCAGTCTGACTCTGGCTCAGGCCCCAGAGGGACTGGCAGGGCACAGCCCTCCTTATAACTGTGCTCCAATGTCCCAGGCTCACCCAACCCTCGCAACTCCCCTGCCAGGCAGGAGTTACCAGTGTTAGCTTAGAAAACGAGGAAAGCGAGAACAGAGATAGGAGAGTTACCCAAGCCACACAGCCTGTAAACGGGGAGCAAGCCTCAAAACGCCATCTCCTGACTCCTAGGCCCCTGCTCTTGCCCCAATCATGGAGCTGGCAGTCCAGGGGTCCTAGGTAAGCACAGGTACCTCTGGAAGGCGGGTGTAGTTCCTCCTGTGGCTAGCAGGGGGCACTGGCCAGCCAAGCGTTGGAGGGCACCTGCCTGGAGGCTCCCTGGCCTGGCCGCACCTGATGCAATGGGCTTGGAGGTTGCAGGTGACTCTGAGGAAACCAGCTGCCCCCACAGTCCAAGATTCTGGGAGCACCCACCCCCGGCACCCCTACCCTGGGACCACACAGATACCCCTAAGTCCCCCAGAGTTCTCCTAGCTTGGATTGCTCATCAGCAAAAGGGGTCTACGGCCCATCTACATCTAGGGGTGCTGTGAGGACTGAAGGGGAGAAAGAATGGACACTCAGGGGTCCTCACCCAGCGTGAGCACCCACCCTCCCGAGCCCCCCCAGGCCGGCACCACGACTACACACTCACTCTCAGGGAGGCTGTCCGAGGTGCTGCGAACATCCTGGGATGAGACGAAAACGTCAGCCCCCTCCTCCAGGCTGGGGGCCTTCTGGCTCAGCCGCTGGCCCACGATGGTCACGTGGGTGTAGAAGCGGTCGCCAGTCACCTTGTGGTCCAGGGCCAGCCCACTACATATGATCTTCTTCCTAATGGCAGCCAGGCCAGAGTGTGTGGGAAGCAGCCAGGGGGAGCCCAAGCCCAACACCCTGCCTCTCAGTGACGGGCCTGGCCTTGGCTGTGCCCAGGAACATGCTCGCTAAGGCAGGACTCAGAGCCCGGCCCAGGGGCCAGGCTGGCGCAGGTGCCCAGTCAGCGAGAGGCAACTCATGACAAGAGCCTAGGGTGATTACTAATGCCATAAACAAGAGTGTCAATTTGTTAAGTCAACAACAGGAGTCACTGTGCACTTACTCCTCATGTAGGATCTCTGTCCTTAATGTGCTGTACATTGAGATTTAATGCTATAACTAGTACTCAAACAGTATTTTTCACTTTGTGTTTCTATGTGGGTGCAAACTGTTGAAATCTTTACTTAATATATACTAAACTGATCTTCTGTATATAAAGAGAATTGAAAATGAATCTTGATGTGAATGGAAGGGGAGAGGGAGCGGGAAAGGGGAGGGTTGTGGGTGGGAGGGAAGTTATGGGGGGGAAAGCCATTGTAATCCATAAGCTGTACTTTGGAAATTTATATTCATTAAATAAAAGTTTAAAAAAAATTTTTAAAAATGAGTCCTATTTCTCTGGGGCTGCTCGGAATCAACCTGACTCCAGCCATAGTCTGGCATCCCCTTTTCAATGTTACGACCTTCGAAAAGTTGCTTTGTTTTCCTGCACCTTTGTTATAACCAAAGTTAATGAAAGAAGCTAGGTCTTACAGCTGTTTGAGAATGGTATAGGAGCTAAATCCATAGTGCCTGGCATACAGTAGGTACTCAATAATTGAGTCAGTTAAGCAGCTGCCAGCCTGATGTGCCTGGGGAGCATCTCCACCTGCCCCCGCTGGACTGACAGCCTTGGGGAAAGCTGGCGTTCAGCTTGCCCAGACAAGGTAAAATGCTGGATTCCTTTGGGGCCACATGGCCTCTGGCACTGAGGTCCCTCTTGCTCTCGTGTCCTCCTGCTGCAAACCCAGAGAGGATACTGCCAAGAAGAATCTTCATGTCTGACCACCTGTTCTGTGTGTGTGCCAGCTGGTCCTGAAGAGCACTTGAGTGTAAGCAGGGTCAGGCTATGAGAACGAGCTTGCAGAGCTGAGGCCGTCTGCCAAACTGAGGTTCAAACCCAGGTCTGTCTGTCTCATCACCACGGCCCTGGCCTCCTGGCCCCTCCCCCCTTTAGAGCAGGTGAACCCCTCCCATCTCATCCCGACCCCAGCCCCTGCCACTCACGTGTAATTGGCTTCCTCAGGGTTGGGAAAGGCTTCGATGGGCCAATTGAGGGCACAGTTCAGAAAGATGAGGCAAGCCAGGCCAGACCAGGTGAACATGATGACCACAAAGGACACGCCAGCATCATAGATCAACTGTGGGAGGAGGCGGCAGGCCCATGGGGGAAGCCACCAGGCCCCAGACCCCACAGAGGCAGAACCTGGACCTTCAAGAAGGTCCCTTCTACCCACTCCTTGGATCCAGTTCGCAGAGGAGGAAGAAATGACCAGAAGATCCACCATTGTCTTCCTCTTCCCCCCTTGCCCCTCTAAAGAAGTGTGACATAGTCCTTGCTGGAGCTGAAGTAGCCAGTCTCTCATTTAAAATGCCTTTGAATCTCCATCTTTAAAAGGCTTTAAAAGGCACACACACCCTGCCCATGACTCCATAAATGTTCATGCTGATCTTCGCCAAAAAAAGGGTCAATTATGTTAGGAAAATGAATGACCCAGGTGTGCCACACCGAATGTGTTTATCCTGCCCCTTCCTGGCACGCTCCCTGGGGGAAAGGTAAACCCAGTTTGAAGGGCCTTATCTCACCTGTCCCAGGTGTCCCCAGGTGCAACACCTGGTGCAGGGGGCCTTCCAGTGCTCCGCCTAGGGCCTCCCAACCCGAGACCAACAGGCTCTGAACTGACTGTGATTCCCAGCATTTGTCCACCCCCACTAATGGGAGAAGCACAGACGATGTGGCTCCCGTCTTCTCACACACCCTCTGTCTGGGACGCCTGACGTGGGCCCTGCCCTCCGGTCCCTGCTCAGAGCTCCAGTCACTGTCTAGGAAATCCTGGGCTCCACCTCCTCGGCCCTGGGCCTCGGGGGCCTTTTCCTCTCTAGGAGCAAGACAGAGCTTCAAAGGGCCACACGCCAGACGGGGCTCCTCAGACTGGACTCCCTGGGTTGAAGACGTGGGGGGAACTGCCCACCAGAACTGGCAGCCACCCACCCATGCACGTCTCCCATCTCCTTCGCTGGGCTGAGAAACGGTGCCCCCTAAAGGAGCCGATGAATTGCCCAGGGTGGGGCTTGAAGAATGCATCACAGCCCAATAGAAAGGAGGCGTTCAGATCCTTCGACCAAGGACGAAGACATCTCAGGGCTCCTGGCTCTCAGGTCCAGCAGGCTGACCTGGCCAGGTTTTGCCCTGTGATGCTGGAGTATGAAAGGGGAGACGTGGCGGGGGGGATGAGCCAGGTCCCTCCTAAGAGCATTGTAGAAGTCCTGGGATGCAGCTTCCAGGGCGAGAAAAGAAGACAGGCAGGAGACCAGCTGAGAAGGCCTGCCTCGGCCCGGAGAGAGGACGGCTGGTACCCAGACACCAGCGAAGGAAAGGAAGAGAGCGGAGAAGTCGGACCCGTGGTGCAGCCCAGGGCTGGGACTCCTCCAATGACGCTTCAGTGCTTTTCACCCCGGAGGCAGGAACTGGGCCACCGCTCCCCCAGCCCCACCCAGTTCTTGTACTCGGGGCAAAAAGACCACCCGGGGGACCTCCCAGGCCCCCTAAGCGGCCCCTACCTTGACTCCGGGGAATGTGATGGCGGAAGAGGCGTAGGAGCCGATCATGAGGGACATAAAAGTGGAGCGCAGGTTCCCAAACATGTTGGGCAGCTGTGGAAGGAAAACAGAGGCCATGAGCAGGGGAACCCCCAACCCCAGTATCCACCGAGGGCTCCCCTTTCCCAACCCCGCCTGAGCACGCTGTACCCAGCCTGGTACTTCCCAAAGTCACTTCCAGGAGACCACAGCTCCAGGAGCCACAACTGCAAAGTCTCAAAGTGAAATCCACAGGGAAGCCATCCTCTCACCCTCTCTTACACACTCCCAATGCACTTGACACAGAAAAGGCTTCCCAGCAGTGCCCTGGAGAAATTCTGTTCATTTTGTTTACACGCAGGGCTTCCCAAGTGCGTTGTGGTGGTCTCTTTAGTCGTGTGCCACCTCTGAATAACACTGACCCAGTGCTGCTCCCCTTTACAGCTGAGAACGTCGAAGCCCAGAGAGAAAATGAAGGGCAGGCACTCAAGGTCAGAGCAGCTAAATGACTCCCTCCCCTGTTCTGGCCACCCCAGCCCTACTCCAAGGCTATGACTCCCAACAGGTGCACCTTAGCCCTGTCAGGGGCCCCAAATGTCCCAGCCCAGTTTCTACTGAGCCAGCGCCAAGTCAGGGGAAGGATCGGGGAGGGGAAGGTGGGTTGAAGGGAGGGGGCAGAGCAGACTTAGAGCTCTCGCTGGTAAAGAATTGATTGGAGCCGGTGCTGTGGCATAGCAGGTTAAGCTGCCACCTATGATGATGGCATCCCATATGGACACTGGTTTATGTTCTGGCTGCTCCACTTCCCATCCAGATTCCTGCTAATGGCCTGGGAAAAGCAGAAGATGGCCCAAGTGTTTGGGCCCCTGCCACCCACATGGGAGACCTGGAAGAAGCTCCTGGCTCCTGGCTTTGGCCTGACCCAGCACTGGCCATTGCTGCCATCTAGGGAATGAACCAATGAATGGAAGATCTCTCTCTCTCTCTCTCTCTCTCTCTCTCTTGATCTCTCTCTCTAACTCCGCCTTTCAAAATAAATTAAAAATCTTTCAAAAAAAGAGAATTTATTGATTGATGTTCTGTTCACTGGCCTGGGCAGTGAAGCTAAGTCCCGAAGCTTTTGTGTGTACCCCCTATCCTCACCATCCTCCACACATCACCAGATGATCCCATAACTAGGAAGAAACTTAAACGCTAAGCAAAGCCTAAACCTACTCCCCAGAGCACCAGCAAACCAAGGCTCACAAGGAGGACCTCAAACAGCTCTGGGAAGGAAAACTTGGGAACTGAGTCGTCCTCCCTTCCTGTCTCCCTACAAGGCTCTGGAAAAAAAAATAAGAGGGGGGCCCTGTTGTTCCCCACTGGGGCAGTTTACCCTGGCACCTTGTATCTGCATGGCCCCCTGCCAAAGACACCAAAGAAGGTGCCAGGCCAGGACAACTCCACCAGGGGTCTGTGGGCGCCGCCTGTGCCCAGCACCATCGGCAGGGTGAGGCTGGCCCAGCTAACCCCAGGCCAGACCCAGACTGGCTAGGAACACAGCTTCAGCACTGGACGTCCCGGCCCAGGGAGCAGCAGAGCAAGTGCCCTGGGGGGCGGGGACGATGTCAGGCCCTGCCATTGGCTGGAGATTACAGTCTGGGTGATTAAGGGGCGGAGGCGTAGAGCCCCTCTGGGCTGGCCAGGGCAGGGTGACCAGGGTAGGGTCCGAGGTCAGGCCCCAGAGAAGGGATTCAAGGCTCTGTGCCAAGTTGCAAAGCGTGGAGAAGAGGCAGGGAGGAAGGGATCGCTTCCTTCGAGAGAGAGTTGTGAAATGTTCCCGGCTGGAATTAAAAGGCAAAGGCGGCTCCTGGGGTGAGATGAAATTCAGCCAAAAACACCCAGTTTGGCCTTCAGGCAGACCTCACTGGAGATAAACAACCCAAAGCTGGCCCAGGCAGGAACCTGCCCCGCCCCCACCCGCTCCCCAGCCTTTAACCCTTCCATTCTGTCTCACCTTCCTAGTGTGCACTCAGAGAAACACACACACACACACACACACACACAAGGGGTCAAGCCTGACCTTGTAGGTCAGGACGGGCCAGCGTGGGCCGCGTCGCAGGGTTCAACCTCACACTCACATGTTTACCCAGTCACCCTTTCAACCCAGACAGTGTCCCTCGGGAACACTCTCCCACAACACAGCAGACACAGCACACACTGCCTCCTCCAGCCGCTGCCTCCCTGCCACTGTCACATTACCCAGTTTTATCTTCTCCCAGCACTTACCACCGCTGACAGCGTATCAGCTTGCTGACTTATCAGGTTGTCTCCTCCCCCTGACCCCCAAAAGGTAAGACCCAGCAAGGTGAGGACAGGAGGACATGGTCAGACCTGTTTGGGCTGTAGCCGCAGTGCCTAGAACAGGGCTCAGCCGACACTCATGGGATTGGTGCGGTAGCCCCACGCGCACACGCACACACATGCGTGCACGTGCACACACACACACACCTGAGCGGTTTCCCATACCTGCCCTTGACCTCCATACACAAGCACCACCCCCAGGCTCACCCTCATTTCCAACCATCCCCCTCTCCCAGGTGTCCCCACTGTTGGGCCGGGCCTGTCATACTCACAGTGAGCGAAGTGAACGTCAAGCAGATGCCACCAAAACCATTCAGGGACAGCGCCAGGAATATGAGCGGAGACAGAACTGGGAAGAAGGAGAGGGCTGAATGAGGGCGACTGGGGAGCTGTGGCAGGGCGGGGGGCCAAGGGCAGCGTCTCGGGCAAAGCAGCCCCCTCCATCCCACCCGTTCTTTCCTTGTGAGGGCACAAAGGCCAGACAGCTCACCTTCAGGGTCCCGCGAGGCCAGGGCCATGAGGGTGCAAGATGCAGCAAAGCACGCACTGTGTGGACACAGGAAACAGTGAGGGGTCCCCTCTCCAGACCTCCCTACCCCTGCCCCCCAGCTCCCACGGCGCAGCCGCCTCACCTGCCAAGCAGCCGCAGGGGCCGGGGGCCAAAGCGGTCCATGAGGATCCCCAGGGGCAAGGTGGTGGCGCTGAGTGCAAAGGAGCCGATGGTAAAGCCCAGGTTGAGCATTTCATCCTGCCGGTCGCAGCTGGGCCACCGGCTGGGCGGCTGCCCCTGGCTGCTGTTGGCGGTGCTGGTGGTGGTGTTTGCAGCTGCGGAGGAGGGGGCAGGGCTCAGCACACAACAGCCGGGACAGCTGGCAGGGGAGACGGCAGCCCCCGACAGTGGTGCTGTGTTCAAGCCCCATTTCCTCATTACTGCCCATCAGGTGATTCTGGGGGGTGGTCTAGGGTGATATTCTGGGGGACAGGGCTCCATAAATGGCAGCAATTCAGTACCTGACCTTGGGAAAGACATACATCACACACCCCCTACATACATATATACCACACACACACCCCACATACATAAAGGCCACACACACACACATCCCACATGTACACACCAAATATGTACATATCCCAAACATACATATACGACACAAACACAGCCCGAGACATCAACCAGCTCAGCTAAGAGGACAGCCATCAAAGCATTTACCGCATTGCAATAATCACCCAATGTCCAAGCTTGGGGGCTGTGGACCCCCCAACAGGAGGCACCCCCAGATCTAACAGCAACGTCGATCAGTGGTGCCCTAACAGATTTAACAGAAATTCACTTAAAGGAAGCTTTCCCAATAAATGACACCCTGATAAAGTAATATTTATTGAGCACTCAGCTTTGTTCCAGGCATTTTTTCTTCCTTTTTTTTTTAAGATTAATTTATTTGAAAGTCAGAGATACAGAGAGGCAGAGGAAGAAGAAGAGAGAGAGAACTATTCCAACCAGTGGTTCACTCCCCAGATAGATGCATCGGCTGGAGCTGCTCCAATCCGAAGCCAGGAGCCAGGAACTTCATCCAGATCTCCCACGTAGGTGCAGGGGCCCAAGGACTGGGGCCATCTTCCACTGCTTTCCCAGGCCATAGCGAGAGCTGGATCGGAAGTGGAGCAGCTGGGACTCTAACCGGCACCCACATGGGATGCTGGCACTGCAGGTGGCAGCTTTACCAGCTATGCTACAATGCCCGGTGCCCTTTTTTTATAAGATTTATTTTATTGGGGCCAGTGCTGTGGCGTAGAGAATTAAGCCACCACCAGTGCTTGCATCTCATGAGTCCCAGCTGCTCCAATTCCAATCCTGCTAATGTGCCTAGGAAAGCAGCAGCAAGTTACACCCATGTGTGACTCTGCCTTTCAAATAAATTTTTAAAAAATAGTTCATTTATTTGAGAGGCAGACTAACAGAGAAGGAAAGACAAAGAGAGAGACAGAGAGAGACAGAGACACACAGAGAGATCTTCCATCCCCTGGGGGACTCCCCAAGTGGCTGCAATGGCTGGAGCTGGCTCAGACTGAAGCCAGGATCCCGGAACTCCATCCAGATCTCCCACTTGGATGGCAGGAGTTCAATAACTCACACCATCCTCTGCTGCTTTCCCAGGACGTTAGCAGAGAGTTGAATCAGAAGCTAAACAGCCAGGACTTGAACCAGCACTCCTATGAGAGTTGCTGGTATTAGAGCCGGTGCTGCAGCACAGCGGGTAAAACTGCCTGTGATGCTGGCAACCCATATGGGCGCTGGTTCAAGTTCCAGATGCTCCTCTCCTGATCGAGCTCTCTAATAGCCTGGGAAAACAGTGGAAGATGGCCCAAGTGCTTGGACCCGTGCACCCACGTAGGAGACCCAAAAGAAGCTCCTGGCTCCTGACTTTGACTCCGGCCGTTGCAGCCATTTGGGGCGTGAACTAGCAGATGGAAGCTCTCTATCTCTGTCTATCTCTGTAACTCTTTCAAATATTCAAATAAATAAATTTAAAAAATAAAAAAAAGGAAAAGATGCTGGTGTCACAAGCAGCAGCCCAACCCACTGCACCACCACCCCAGCCCCGGGGCCTTTTATAAACAGTCACTGCATCAACTCATGAGTCCCATGAGGCCCATGAGTCAGTCAATAAAGTATCCCCATAACCCAGATGAAGAAAGTGAGGTGTTGCCCAATTACCCTCACTTGCCTGCTCCCAGTTAGCACTGGAACTGGCAGCCTCCTGAATTAAGACACTGTCCCTGCCCCTAAGTCTCTCAACTGACAGCTTCCCTCATAAACAATCCCACTTGCTTGCAGTTAATGCACACCTGCTTTGTGCCAGGACTTTCCATACAGAATCTGATCTTATCCTACAATATAAGAATAGAATGCCTAACACACAGGTTCCTTTGGAGACAAGGACCAAAGCTCTGCATGGTGCCCAACCCAGGGAACATGCCCTTGGGACAGCCGACGAGAGATGATGGCCCTCGGGTGCTGAGGTTCCCGCAGTGAAACAGAGGGGAAGCCCTCAACTCTCACGCGCGGCTGTGGTTAGATAACAGAGAACCCAATGAAGGCGAAATACAGCGTGGAGTGGCAGGTGCTGAGAAGAGAGATGCCCATGTCATAGTGCCCGGATGCTGGGGGGGCGAGGCAGACGCACGGGCCCAACAGTGACGTGACCTTGACTTCAGATATCTGAAGTGTGTGCAACTGGCAGAAGGCGAAGTGATCTGTGTGTGAACTTCAGAAAGAACATAAAGGGCTGGCAGATAGGCGTGCCGGCCACCCAGAGAAGGAACCTCCTTGGGCGATGGGGAGTTCCCCACCTGTGGCAGTTGCCAAGAAGGCTGGGGCAAGTGCTTGGGCACCTGCAGGAAGCAGTGAGAGGGGTTAGACCACACATGGGGTTGAGGCCAGCCCAGTAATTCAGGGGTCTTGACGCTCACTGTCTGCTCCAGCTAATCCTCTCTTACACCTATTTGCTGGACATGTAGTGACTGTCTGCCAATGAGCTCTGTCTTGGGACAGTGAGTAAAGCAAGAAGAAAAGCAAAGATAACTCAGGCCAGCACTGCCCCCACCCATGTTCTGCGAGGCTGGCTGAACCTTTTAGTGCATTGAAACTGAGTGGCAGTTTAGGGGCTGGCTTTGCGGTGCTATAGGTTAAGTTGCCACTTGGAACACTGGCATCCCTTGCTGGAGAGCCGGTTCCAGTTCCAGCTGCTCCAATCCAGCTCCCTGCTAAAGTGCCTGGGAAAGCAGCAGAGGGTGGTCCGAGTGCCTGGGTCCCTGCCACTCTCATGGGAGACCCAAATGAAGTTCCTGGCTCCTAACTCTAGCATGGATCAGCCCCAGCCATTGTGAACCAGCTCACTCGCTCGCTCTCTCTCTCTTTCTGCCTTTCAAGTAAATAAAAATATTTTAAAATAAAGAAAAATTGAGTGCCAGTTTAAAACCGGGAATCATCTCTAAACATCTAGATTTCTGGCTTATATTGAAAAGATCAGAAAACATGGCCATCAGGGCCAGGGCTGTGGCACAGAAAGTTAAGCCTCTGTCTGCAGTGCCAGAATCCCATACGGTCACCGATTCAAGACCTGGCTGTTCCACTTCTGATTCAGCTCCTTGCTAATACTCCTGGGAAAGCAGTAGAAGATGGCCCAAGTGCTTGGGCCCCTGAACCCACATGGGAGACCTGAAAGAGGTTCCTGGCTTCGGCCTGACACAGCCCTGGCTGTTTTGGCCATTTAGGGAGTGAACCATCGGATGGAAGATTTCTCTGTCTCTCTCTTAAATTCTTTATTTAAAAAAAAAAAAAAAAAAAAAAAAAAACAGAAAAGAAAACCTGGTCATCATCACAGCCGAGTGGCGGCTTCTCTGATTCACCAGGGCTTGCTTCACACAAGTGCTCACCTCCCAGACTTCTGCTCTCTTAACACCTGCCCTGCGGTACCCAATTATCATCACCTGCCTGGCCCCAATTAGCACTGGAACTGGCAGCCCCTGAATTAGAAACCACCCCTGCCCCTAAGTCTTCCAACTGACAGTTTCCCTCATAAACAATCGCACCTGCTTGCAGTTAATGCACACCTACTTTGTTTCAGGACTTTCCATATAGAAACTGATCTTATCCTACAATAGTCCTCAAAAGTAAGGATACTGGCCTCCATGTCACAGATGCTCAGGCTCCAAGAAGCCGAGCAACTCAGCCCCCAGCATCTCACCGGAGGGCTCAGACTGAAGCCCAACAGAATCTCCGAAGCCAGTCCTTTTAATTCGCACCACGTGGCCTCTCTGTTCTGCACAGGCCAGGAGCCCCTGCACTAATGAAGAATTCAGCCCAGGACACTGTTCGTGACTCAGGGTCAGTGAATACCTTGGTTCATCGATCATTCTCACAGGTCTGATTCAATTGGGCTAGCTCCTGCTCACTCAGTGCTTAGAGAAAGTGAAACTTACAAACCCGGAGAGGAGCCTGCCCAGAGGTCGAGACCTCTTGCACCTGCTAATTACAATAGGTCTTTAGCATCCACCTCCCCACTGTGATAGACAAGTAAAGTGAGGCAGAAGATAGCACGGGGAGAGGGGCAGCGCTGTGGCATGGGGGTAAAGCTGCCACCTGCCAGCATCCCACATGGGCACCAGTTTGAGTCCCGGCTGCTCCACTTTAGATCCAGCTCTCTGCTATGGCCTGGGAAAACAGCAGAAGATGGCCCAAGTGCTTGGGCACCTGCACCCTCAAGGGAGATCTCGAAGAAGCTCCTGGCTTCAGGCCTGCGCAGCTCTCGCCATTGCAGCCATTTGGGGAGTGAACCAGCAGATAGAAGATCTCTCTGCCTCTGTAACACTGCTTTTCAAATAAATAAATCTTAAAAAAAAAAAAAGAGAGAGAGAGATGGGACAAAGTATTCAGTGAGTGAGTGAGTGACAGAGTTTAGAAACATGGGAGACTTGCATTTCCCAATGTGTGGTTTGCACAGGAAGTAGGGGACACACCAGGTGCGGACACAAATGGTTTTGGAGGTTTCATTGTTATTATTTAAATGCGTAATAGAAACATACATACATGTGTGTATACATATATATATATATCTACCTATGTATGTATTAGAAATATATGCAATGTATGATGTGTGTATTTAACACCAAACCCAAAATTCCAAGGAGATTGCATTTTAGAAAGCAGCAAACTTCCTTTTCTAAAAAAGTTAGTTGAGAGGGTGAGCATTTGGTGCAGCAGTTAAGATGCTGCTTACGGTACCCACATCCTGGGGTTGGCGTCATGGCACAGCAGGTGA